TCGATTCTTTCAAATTCGCCCCGAAGGACGACAGGTGCACGTCTTGTGTGTCGGCTCAACGCTTGGCCGCGACCGTTGGTCTTTGTCATCGCCGCCGCCGCCGCCGCCGCCGCCACCGCCACGTCGCCCAGTCCAGCTCAGCTCAGCTCAGCTCAGCTCAGCTTAGCGCGAATTTCCGGCCATTTCGGGCACATTCTGTCTGTCCCGCGCACGCGTCGACTCGGCCGACTGCCCCGACATCAGGCACCGCCCGTCCACTCGTCCACTCGTCCATTCGTCCACGCGCCCATCCATTTTGCCAGTCCGTATCAGTCCAGCCAGTCGCCTGCCACATGGCGCATTGCCTTTCGTTTGACACACTTCTTCCGCACCCCCGCCCCCGTCGCCATCTCTGCCAGTCGCCACGCCTCCTTCACACTGCCCCTTTGCTCATGCTCGTTTGTCTGTCTATCCGCCCTTGTGCGCACTCGCACACACGCACTTGGTCAGGCATGTGTCTTCTCCATGTCCTCGTTCTCATCGCTATCGAGCATTTCGATTTCACTCGTGAGCTTGTCACTAGTTCAATTGATATATCGATCGATTTGCCAGTCGATCAATTGCCTATTCAAATGTCCAGGCCTTGGGCTGTCTACTCGAAGGTATGAAGACCAAGATGGTGTGTGGCCTTTGGTCGGTCTCGTTTTGGTTGTAGACAAGTCGGTTGACCGTGTTTTCGCAACTTGGTCTGATTGGTAGGAAGACTTGGAGGAACACACCCAGTCCAGGTCCATGGCATGGTAGAATGTGATCAGCATTGCCGGCACATTGGGTTGAATTGTGTGGGAAGGCCAGCTTCGAGTGTGTACGGCTGTCACGAGTGCCGCTCGAAGGGGTACACGAGACGACATCGAATTGTAACAGGCAAGGTGTGAAACGAGCCACTGGGAAATGTGAATAGGCCGAGAGACACAACAGTTTAGCACACGCTTGGTCCAAGGATCGGCTTCACTTGTCTCTTTTTCGACGACTTGTTGTGTCGTGCTAACAGACACGATACTCACTGACGATGTCGGCGAGACGTCTGCAAGTGATGATACAGACAATGGACTGCGGACTGCGGACTGCTGACTGCGGTGCGTTCCTCCAAGTCGTCCGACCAACATGACCATGTCGCGAGAGGAGACTGCGACCACACAAAAGACCACACCGTCTTGGTCTGCATGCCTTCGACCAAGATGAATGACTGTTGTACATACTAAAAGAGTGACTGGGTGTCGACGACCGTGACAGGCAGGACGAACGGGGAGCGCAAGCCAACAGGTACAACAGCCCACTCTCGTGTCATGTGCATTTTTCAATCGATGCCTAATTGATGGCATGTCTGCGTCGTGCGCAATTCGGCCAGTCAACGTGCCACTGCGTAGATACTAAATCCAGCAATAATCCATTCCGTAGATCAGATTAACCCAACAAATATGCTCATACTTCGGGGATGTAACACATAGTTTGCACATAGTTTGTCTCGAGTCGAACCGGTCACTCGCAACTCAACTCTTTTACTTTGAATATATGCAGACCAAGATGGTGT